CTAATGAAATATAAAGTCTCTGAGAGCCTAGCACAGTGCCTGCCACATATTCCACATGCACCTAGGATTAGTTGAGCAAGGCCTAGTGATTCAGGCCTGTAGTTCCTTGGGAGACTGAGGCTAGGGGACAAGTTTAGGGCCAGCATGGGTTACAGAGGGAGTTTAAAGCTGATGTGGGCAAGCTCAGTGAGACTCTGTCTTAAAACAAAAAATGTAAAATATAGATCAGTGATAGAGCTCCCACCTAGCATCTGTAAGGACCTTAGTTCAGTCCCCAGTGACACAGACACACAGACACACACACTGAAAGGATGTCTGCAGAGTTCAGGTTCTTCTATCAGAAAACTTGTCTACTTTGAATAATCCTCAACCTGGATAAGTCCACACTAAAGGCTGACCTTGAACCGTTTGTGACTTCAACTCTATTACTGTAAAACACTGCTTAGCAGAAGGATGTCATTTCTTTTCACTAGCATTTTTTGAGGACTTAGATAATGTGTACAGTCAAAACTAAGTTTCCTTTTATGAATATTATCTTATCACCTTGTTTTGCATAATTTCACATCCAATTTTATGCTTGCTACAATTTTTATTATGTTCTCAACCTCACTATCATGACCCAAAAGGAGGGACACCAGCAGAGAGCTGAGGAAGTGATAAGACAGTCAAATGCAACTTTTACATAACTTTGAATGAACACTGGGTTCATCTGATTGTTCTAGTCAGACGTCTGTTGCTAAATTTCTTACAAGAAGACATAAACAATGTCTAAGTCCTCAATGACAAAATGAGGCATGAGTTCACCAAAGTTAACTGTGGGGAGCTAATGAGTTTATTCAACTTCCTTTCATAGATGAGTGGTTACTTACAGGTGGCATAGGCCTCCCCTCTTGTCTTCCTGGGACTATATAAACTCTAGCCCCTCCCTCAGGCCATGTGCAATTAAAACAGAGTTGCGTACAACAGGCGGTAGAGCCGCTGGACAGTCAGGTGAGAATATTATGCCTTCTCGGTCCCTCTGTGCTGGGCAGTAAACCATAAACAAGCCCAGCTGGGATGATCTGCAAGGGAGTGCAGCTGAATGCCCAGACTGGGAGTTACTTGGCTCAGAGGACAGTCACTCATGACAATGGCACATCCAGATAGCAGAAGTCAAGTCACGGGCACGTAGTTATTTGAAAAGTGTTGCCCTGCTTGCTGGTTTGAAGTGATTTGAAAGGGTTCTGGTTGGGTTTCATGAAAGAATATAACTCACCAGTTCTTAATTCTGACAGAACAGTTCTACTTGAACATTTTGGTTATTGTTTAAGTCAGAGTCAGCATGCTTTCAGTTTTCCATATAGTTATTCCCTTTGAAAGTGGAGCAAGGACATTTGGATTGTACTTCCTATTTTTAAAAAAATTGCTTTTATGTTTGTGAGTGTTCTGCTTGTATTGTGTGTGCCTGGTGCTCACGGAGGCCAGAAGAGGATGGTGGATTCCATGGAACTGGAGTTATAGACAATTGTGAGCTGCCATGTGGGTGCTGGGAACCAAACCCTGGTCCATGGTAAAGGTCCTGGTCCTGGTGCTCTTAGCCACCAAGCCACCTCACTGACTTCTGGATGCATTCCTTTAAAAACACCAGCAAAGACCTCTCCTCTCCCACGACGGCTCTAACTAGTGCCTCTCAGAAATAGCTTTCACAATGTGCGGCACAGCCCTCGCAGACACCGTAGTCTGGCACTTTAGCAACACGAGAGCTATTTCTTCAGTTGAATTTTAGGAAATACTCGGTTTGAGTTCAGGGACCCTGTTTTAGGAAAGTAAGCCTGACTATAAGTAGATGTCTTCAAGAACCCCAAGAAGAAAATGAACGAAGGAGAGATTCGCTGTGCTCTTGTTTACTTCAGGGCCAAAGCTCGCAGAGGAATGGGCGCGCTCTGCACAGCCATTTGTCTTCTTGTTCTGTATCTCTCTTTGCCAAATAGAGTTGAAGTTATACACATGTCACAAATCCACTGTACAGATTGGTGATCACATTTAGCATTGTTTCTCTTCATTTTTTTTAAAACAAGTGCAGTAATTTTAAGGGTATGTGAAAAACACTACCAGATACCAGATACATATGTAATTCTTATACATTAAACATGTAGTGTTGTGTATGTGCATGATGTATATGGGAGGGGTGCACGCCACATGCTATAAATGTGAGGATCAGAGGACAGCCTCATGGGGTCAGTTTTCTCCTTCTGCCACGTGTGTTATGAGAATCAAACTGAAATTGCCAGGCTTATGAGGCAAATGTCTTTACCTCCTGTGCCATCTTGGCAGCTCTAAATATGGAGTTATTAATCAGCACTATTAAGATTCAGCAGAATAAATTTTAAAAACATGGAGACCAGGGTCTATCCCAATTCTAATTTAATTTTATGATTGCACTTGATGGATGTGATGCACATGAGCAACATCAAGCATGTGGGGGTCAGAGGGTAATTTTGTGGAGTATGAGCTTTCTGACCTTTAAGTGGGTTCCAGGGAGCAAAGGCAGGTCACTAGGAGGCAAGTGCTTTTACTCTCTCAGCCATCTTGCTCCTCCCCATCCTAATTCCGTTGAATCGTCTTTCTCTGGGTGTGGATCTTGGGGCATTATGTGTGAAAGCTCTAGAGGCAATGCTGATGTGTAAATCTTGGCTAAGAACTGCTTTTAAACCATCATGAACCAACGATGAAATTGTGAACCAGAGTCACTTCAGAGTAAAGGTGGCCCATGTCACCATTTTGTCTTAGGACTGGCTGATTGTGAACGTTGTTTCCTGGTTTCTGACTGTGTATCTGCTGCCTATCTCTTGCCTTGTCATTGAGAACTTCCGGGCTGAAAACCTGATCTTTGGCCCCCAGTGCCATCACAAGCATGGGTTCTGGCGATCTGCTTCAGGTTAGTTCTTTGGACTTGGCTTCCCTCATCTTTGCAGCTGTCTCCACCACACACCTCCAGGACAACCCTAGGAGGACAACCTGCCCACGGCACTGGGTCAGGGAGGAACTGCCATGGGTCTACTGGACAGTGATTTCAAATAACTGTAAAAGCTACAGTGTCCCATCAGCAGACTCCTTTAATTTCCTGCAAACATGGTTTTGTTTTTGTACCCCCCCCCCAACAAAACTGACCTAACATAGAGTAGGAAAATTCTTTCTCTGGACTAAAGGTGTTCTGTTATCTGGGCCTGGCTATCATCAATGCTGTTCTACCTTCCTTCCATTTTTAGTGGCCTGTTTTTTTTTTTTCCCCTTCTCCCTTCTTTTCACCAGCAACTGCTGCTTCTTTAACTCGTACAAGACTCATATTATTCCACAATACACAGGAAATAAGACATTCTTATGGCTCTGAGTCTGTTTTCAGAGAGCCAGGGCCCCCACACACCTGAAAGGCCTGGTTAAAAAAATACGATTTTGTGAAAATTATGCTCTCCCATGAAAAGAAAAAAGGCATGGCTGTGAAGACAACTTGTCATCGATCCCTCATTAGGATCTAGACTCTCAAGAAGTGCTAAACACAAACCTTGGAAACTACTTCTATCACCCCAGTTGAACAGGTTTCTTTTTCTTCCCGAATCATGGTAATCATTTTCTGATTTTCAATGTCTTTATATTTTCTTAGACTACCACAAACTCTGAAGTCATGGCCCTCATTTTCTCATATATTAATTCCCACCAGCCCTAGGCATAACATAGTCTGCAGCAAATACTGGCTGTTGGCTCATCATTTTTTATAGTCTTAACCTCTAATGATCTCATGCCTCTCCTATGGTTCATTCCCACAAAACAGTACGCTACTTTATTGTTAATAAATTAAATTTTTTTCTGAAATATTAGGAAAAGCTCAAACAACAAAGGCAGATATTTTTTTTAAAAAGTGCCACAAGCATGCCACTTTAGTTGCCCAGCAAGCCCAGAATCTCAGCGTAGAGAAAATCCGGAAATGCAGGGCCGGTGGGAGAGGCCCTATAAATACCTACAGTCTAACAAGGCCTCTATGTCCCAAATTCAACTTGTCTATCAGGCAGCGTCTCACAGTTTTCCAACTACATTTGAGAACAATTCTTCGGACTTGCGGGCGCAGATCGAAGACTTCAGGTAATGTGGCATGGGCAGAGAACGTTTTCTGACACAATACTGGCAGGGACTGAAAGGCGGGTTTCCGGGAAACCTATTCTCTGGGTCACCTGCGCAACGTGGTCATCCTTTCCATTTTAAAACGCGGGCGGTGGATTAGGATTTGGCAAGCCCCCCTTTTTTTCCTGAATCTATTCTAGTGCCCTAAACGAGTTGAAGTGGTAACTTGGTTGGGGAGGGCAGCCGTTCCACTCGTCCACACGTGAGTTCCCCTTCGTGTTCTTGCAGGGTTGGGTGAGGCACTCCGGGACTGCCTGCCTTTTCTGTGTGGGTGCTCGGATCGGCGGCAGCCGGAGCCGAAGGACTGGCGGGGGATTAGTACCAGGTCATAAACAACCTTCCCCTTCCCCTCCCCCGCCCCGCTGGGTCGTCCCCGCTAGCGCCGCGTGGGCCTGCACGGTTCCCTCTCCCTCGTCAGTTCCCTCTTCTCGGCCCTGCACTCTCAATCACGACGCCGGGCCCTCGCCCACAGGCGGAGGGCGGCTTCCACTTCCCTTCTCCCCGACCCTGTCACCGAGCACAGCCCAAAAGGCCGGCCGCCCTGACACGCGCACGCCTACAGCCGCGGCCGCCCTGCGCCCGCCAACCCAAGTCCCCGCCCCCACCCGCGGTGCTTCCGCGGCGTGTCCCCGCCCCTTTCCGGAGCCCGCCCCCCGGCTGCCGGCCTCCGGCCCGCCCCGCGCGCCGGCTCGAGCGCGCCCCCGGGGGCCCCGCCCCCGCGCGCGTGCTCAATAACTGTCCTCTCCGGCGGCCGACAAGCTGCCCCCGCCCCGGTGCTGTTTGAATATGCTAATAAGGCCCTAAGGCCCAGCCAGTAGAACGGCGGGCCTGCGCGTCACGTGACGCGACTACGTGTCCAGGGGCGGGGCCTACGCGGCCCCTGCCCGAGTTAAAACCGGAGAGTGAGAGAGAAAAGCGCTTCAGTAGCGAGAGGGGCTGAGAAAGTGGTGACACCGCTGGGGTGCGGAGGGAGTCCCTGAAACTTCTCCCAACAGCCCCAGGGCCAATCTCCCCTCAGCCCACTCCCCTCTCCGCCAGATCCCTGGTCCCCACTCCCTGCACGGGGGGTGGGGTGGGGAACTGGGCCCGTCTCCCGCGGGGACACACACAGGGGCCGGGAGTGGGGACGGGACCCCCCAGGCAGGGGGGACGGACGGACAGACGTCCGTGCGGCCGCCCCAGCGGGCAGACGGGCCAGAGGCGGGGGTGCGACCGGGAGGACCTGGGCTGGGGAGTTTCCTCTCAACTATCGGGGGAGAAACTCCCCACGAGCCGGTGTTTTCCTCCCGGGGGCCGCGTTCCCCGCCCCGCGTAGCGGCGGTTGCCGCCGCCGCCGCCGCCGCCACCGCCGCCGCCGCCGGTGCCTCCAACCTCTGCCATCTCTTCACCACCTCGGGCCCCGGTGTCCCCGGCCAGCACTATGCCCATCTTACTGTTCCTGATAGACACGTCTGCCTCTATGAACCAGCGCAGCCATCTGGGCACCACCTACCTGGACACGGCCAAAGGCGCGGTAGAGACCTTCATGAAGGTACCGACTGACCGAGCCCCGGCGGCGACCCCGACCCGCGGTGGCCCGCGGGGGGCAGGGCGGGGGGCGGCG